CTTCCAACCTAAACCATCCTATGATACAGGTTGATTTTTTGAAGTTTAAATTATTTAAGCCTGCTGTACTAAATTTAAATAGTCATGCTTTCACATTTTTACAACAAACCTGTATTTTACATTTTACATTCCACCTTAGAAGAAATCTGGTACAACCTTTGTTATTATCCCTCCTGAGCATATGATTTCCATGGGACATGTATTTGAATAAACAAATCATAATGTGATTCATTAACCAGAGTAATGCCGTCAGCTGGAATTTCTTCAGTTTGCTGTATCTTACATTTACAGAGTCACTGCAATTCTCAACTAGATCAGATGCCCATAGGACATGAGATTCTATCTTTAAGGTCTGAATTGATAAAGATTTCAAAAATTCCCTTTCTTCATCTCTGTGTAAAGATGAGAAGGGCTGAAGCTTACACAGTTTCACAAAAGCCTAACTTCAACACTGCAATACGTTTTGTATTTGGAAGTTTGCATTCAAATACAAGAAGGCTGGAATCTAGGCAAAGTCCTAGATTCATTGCTATAAATGCAGTGGCCCCAACATGCTGGGTGGACATATGGAAATGTCAGGAGGACTGCAACAGTATCTGCCAAGTAAGTACTTCTCTACAGTAACACCAATAAAGACAGAGCTGCCATTTAAAAAGTGCTCACAGCAGCTTATAAAGATAATGAAAAGTGTTCATATTTGTCTCTGTTTATTTCACTTTCTCTAAATGTTAACTAAAGGGAAACATACTCCTAATTACACTGGGAAAGCTATCTTAACTGGTTAGAAAGGATGGACCTTCAAACCACTAATTTTCACATCCACAAAACTTCTGACCATATAGCAGAAGCACGTGTACCTTTCAACAGCATTACCCCAAACACCTTGAGGTCCCCTGATATGAACTATTCCATTTAGTACAACACAGCACTAACCTGGAAGGAAACTAAACAAGAAAATAATCTAAAGTTTAAGTTTAAAGTTTTTAATCAGGCCTTTTATTTTTAGTGGGTTTATTTCAAAAAAATGAGTTAGACTTACCCTGACCACAAAAAATCAATTTGGAAAAAAACCTATTGTAGTTGGAAGGCTGTATCTAAACCCAACCCACTAAAGTTAATATCTGAAGTCAAGTGCCTCAACAATAATGGCTGAGTTCTTTGAGATGCTAGGCAAATACAACTGACACCAAATCCACAGGAGTTTTCAATTTTCTTATCTCCAAAAGCAAAAATGCTTACTAGCTTACTTAAGAACACAAGGGGCAAAACTCTCCTCGCTTGCACAGACAAGCCCATACACCAAATAAATCTGCTTATATCTCTCTGCACCTCCTTCATTCTTATTCTTGTCCCAGTTGAGCTGAACATACTTTCCTGAGAGTGCTCTCCGGAATACCACCCTCCACATTCTCGCAACACCAGTAAAAAGACAGATAACTTGATAAACTTGCTTCACTTAATTTCATCAGCTTTTGATTGTCTGATAGAAAACACAGCTGGTATTTAGAAGTTCAAAGAGCATTATACAGAAACAGAGTTGAAGGTATTTGAAATGTACTTCCATACTTAATCGAATTTATTTATAAGCAGCCTCAATTTCTAAGGAAAAAAAAGTCAACAAAGACTAAAAACATTAATCAGCAGTTTAGTAGTTTTGCCCTTATATAGAGTAAATAATTGCTAATTCATGATCTGTATCTGTACATTTCCCTAATCTATTTTTAAAAGTTTATGAAAAAATTCAGGGAAGAATCCAATCTTAAAATTTAGGCAGGTAATTCACACATACAGTATTGACAGAAACTGGAAGCAGATTGGAATCCATCTGTAATACATGATGCAAAGAGAAGAAAAGAGAGCTTCAGCACATACAGTTGAATTAAAAGTTTTGGATCCTTGTGATGCCTACGTGAATCATGAATATATTTGTATCTGTTGGTATCAAGGTCTTGAAAAGCCAGCAAGCTACACAGGCCTTTGTGTAAAAGTCGAGGAAACACAGCTTAGGAAGCATTCAAATTACGTCTAGGGAATCTAGAGATGCCCAGAAGTTGCTTCCAATGCACCCAAACCAGCATAGAGTGGTAACTTCAGTATGTCAACACAAGCTGATTCTAGGAGTTAAAACAGTACCCAAAGGCATCACCACTGTCTTCAGTGACATATGAAAGCCTGTATATAATCCATCAAGTCAATAATTTTGTACCTCTGAAAAGTCAGTAAACCCATTCTACTTTGAATTTTCCTGTCAAAGATTACATGGATGATTTAATATAGAACTAAGCACAAAGTGGACCTAGAAATTAATTTAGACAATTGGAGAATTTAGTTTTGAACACAAACATGCTGTTTTGACAAAACATGCATTATATAAAGCTTCATGTACAGCAGACAGCAGTTTATCATCACTTTTCTTACCCTGGCTTCTAAAGTCACTTTAGAGACCAGAACTTTGTATCTTGACAAGGATTACATAAAAATCCTACCACTTTGTTGACAGCCTCCATATCACATAGGTTTTCCACTAAAATGCGACATGCTTCTTCTTTACCCCAGTGAGCAGCAGCATGAAGTGGTGTCCAGCCATCATAATCTTTAATATTTACATCGTAGCGAGCCTGTATTAAAAGCCTAAAGAAATTCAGAGGGTTAGATCTTGACACTGTTGACAGGGATAAACAAACTGTCATAAAATAATTCTACAATAATATTCTTCTCCATTTTCATCAATGTCAATGATATGTATTTCAGATGGGCTATTAACAATCAATTATTTTTTTTCCCAGAAATATTTGCCTTCTCATTGTTCAACAGACATATATATTTTAAGGAAAATTCAAGAAAAACAGCCTTTTCCATTTTCTTTTTTATTCATTTTCCCTTCATTCAAAATCTATTCTTTCTATACAGTTTGAAATTTTTCTCTGTATGTGCAGTAATAGAGAAAAGCCCTATCAACAGTCAAAAATAGTTAGATACACCATTCTTATCTAGTAAATTATTAAAACTTCTTGCATCTCCTCCTGTCATTAACATATGATGTTGTAACAAGCTGGTGTTTATGTGTTTTAATTGCTCTCTGAGAGGGAGCAGAGCTCCTCAAATAGAGGACCTGCTTTTCAGCCTGTGTTCAACACTCGAATTTGGCATGGTTCTGATGTGAGTGTCAAAGTGACAACAGACACCTAAGCTGACAAATTGTCTTGGGTAAAGGGCTATCAGCTCTCTGAAACACTGTCCATAATCATTAAAAATCACAAAACCGTCAAGTATTCTTCTCAAAAAAATGATCTCCATTTCTCAAGAGCCAATATACTTATGGTAATATCCTCCAATGAGTCAACTTTACACATGCCCAGCTGCCAAGTCTTGCATCCTACACAGAGCACACATTTTTGATAATTTGAAGCCATCACAAAAATTGCCTGTATACATATTTTTCCCCTCCTAGGAAAAGTACATGGACTGGACTACAAAAAAGACACTGAGAGCTAAAAAAAACTAGTTATAACTCCCTTACAGACACATGGGATTGCAAACCAAAAATTATTCTTTTCCAACAGAATAATTTATCTTCATCATGTTGTAGCATTCATGTATTTTGAAGCAGAACTCCCATTGAGTAAGTTGTATGTAATGGTTATAATGATTAAAAGAGTTCCATCATTTAACTTCTGTGCTGACAAAGCATTACAAGGCTCTACAGACTAAAGTAGAGCCTCTTACTAAAGGCTTACAGTCAGGATGAGTTCTCATTTTCATTCATGTTACAATATAACTGTTTCTAGTACTGCCAAAGCAGTCAAATACCTTTACAATCACAGTACAGCAATTTATTATTAAATACGCTTTACTTCAATAAAAGCAGAGCTTTGATGAAAATTAATCATCTGTTGCAGTATGTATTTGGATCAGACTGTATTACTGAAAAGCTCCTGTGAATTAGGGGACACCAACATCCTGAAGCCTTCCAGGAAAGACTTCAAAGCCATGATTTTCAACAACAGTATCAAAATAGCACAGTTAAATTCTACCGTCTTTAATTTTGAAAATCTTTAGTCTGGATTACAAACTCTGCTTCATGTATGCAAGTAATTCTGGTGTCCTGAAAACATGCATCAGCCAGAATGCTAACTGGGGCATTATAAAAAGGTATTAAACTTGTTTACACAGTTGGCTTTAGAAACAGGGCAAGTTCTTTGTCAACATTCTTCTTTTAAATAAGTATGCAGGCTCAATACATACACTTTGTTCAAGTTTTGACTGACTTAATGTAGAAAGCTAACAGCATCATGATTTATGAGTGCCTGAAAACATAAAATCACACTTTGAGGAAAAGCTACTTCTAGAGATTGTTATTTTCCGAGTTGCAATCCTCAAAAGTCAGAAGCATCCAATTCTATACTTCCAACCAGCATTACATCAAGAACATAATCAAATACGAAAAATCTCCATTTAAACACCACTTACTTTAAGACTTCTGTGTAGCCCTTAGCAGCAGCTACATGAAGTGCTGTACCACCTGATTTTGCATGCCTGACATCATTTATATGGCCGCTGTTGAGCCACTGTCTTGCATCTCTTAGCATTATTCGTTCTTCTTCTTTTCGAGCTGCCTCTATATCAACTCCTAATTCAGATAGGGAGGAGAGAAAAAGAGAGGACACAAAATATTTTAGTTTCAATACAGCAATTCAATTATGTAACCAATCTGATAGCATGTTTATGTGATACAATAAAATAACTGCTAAACAATATCCATAATGTTCACTGTTAGATATGAGTAACTTTCTGAAGATGAATCCCAAGAGGTTACGGAAACATCCATTATTGCATGACATTTTGCATGCATGTAACAGTTTTTTCCCAAAAGAAGCAAGGCAAAAAACCCCAGCCAAACCAAAGAGGAGAGCTACTAAAACTGGCTCTTCAGTTTTAAGAACATTTACCACCACAGCTAGAATCACTGAGAAGACCTGTTAAAAAAAGAGGAAAATTACACTTTCACATTCTAAGCACCAAATACAGTGGCTGGTTCGATTACCTGTAGAAAACAGAAACAGCTATAATTTTTTTACAAGGAGATATCTATGGGAAGAGAAACAGCCCAGCTGCTCAACATTGATGGAATACTTACATGAAAGACAGAGCTATATTTTTTAAACTTTCTAAAGAATTTCCAGTTAAAAACCAGTCTGTCTTCTACCATTGTAAAACAAAAAAATTATACTCCAACAGCCAAGCTTTTGGAAATCTCCCTTCCTCTTTCAGGTAAAAAAATCAAAAACACTAAAACTTTTTTATAGCATGTCTCACAAAAAATTATCATACACCGAGGAAAAGGAGGAAGGCAATATAACATTTGCAAGTGAACACATAAGGTTAAACAAATTGAAAAAAATTCCAGACCCTGAATGGGCAAAGCACAGCATGTATCTGCCAGCATTTTTCATTACTACCACATGGGAGTGATGTAAAGAACATAGCAGGAAAGGCATCTTGAAGAGATCTATGCATAAGCATTGCTCTATCTATGCTGGCTGAACAGTGACAACTGTGAGGAAAAGGCAATTAGGAACTGTGTTCATCAACAGCACAAATTACATCTGGGTTGATCTCTAAAAGAAAATCAGGGGGCCAGCCTTCAGTAAAATGATTTTATGTGTACGACTTGTCTAATCTTAGGTGCTGGCGTGCAGGCATTCAGGAAATACACACTGTTTTTCTGAATTTTTAACTTCTCGTGGAGCAAAGCATTAACTTGAACATCATAAACCCAAGTGAAATGTAGAAAGAGGTACCTATCTACTAGATGAACCCACAAACTTCAACAGTAGTCCTTACAGCCTATAAAACAGAAGTTAAGATGATTTTTAAAACACTTGAGAGATGTTCCTTGACTCAGATCTAGTTCTGCCTTCCTTCAGTACTTTCTGCTGAAGTTTCATCTGTCCCCAAACTGGTTTTCTCCAGCAAACATGTTTCTATCATATAACTCTCCTAACTGTCCAACTAATCAAAGCAAAACAATATATAGCAGACCGCAAACAAGACCAAGCAAACCTAGAACATCGTTTTTCAAAACCAATCGACGTAATTAATTTATTTTAATTAATTTTCAAAGTCTTTATCATAAACAGCAATTTCAGGCTGCAATGTCTTCAAAGAAACGGTGAGCTATTAATCCTTTACAGGATGAACGAATCCCCAGAATATGGTAACCAAATGAAAGCCAACTTGACTGCTGCTTATTTGTAGATGCAGCAGAAACTGAGATAAGGGATGAAGAGGCCTTCATTAAAGAAATTATTAATATTAGGAAATGAAAAGACATAAATAACACAGAGATGATCATATGTAGTGCAATGCAGAATTCTACTGTGAAAAATCTGATAAAACAGATTAATCAAGCTCTTAACCAATCCACTGGCAACTAGAAAGCCAGAGCAACAAACCAGCAAACTGAACGGCATTATAGTAGCTCTGCTGAAAAGCTCTCAAGGCAGTGGATAGCAGACTTATATATCTATTACATTATGCATCAATTAGCATTTCACAGATGCTGCAATTCCCCAATTATAGAGAAAAAAAACCTTTGAAAATGACATGCCCAAATCAAAATTTCCTGAAATGCAGAAAAAAGGGATGTAATTATTACATGGTTTTGGAAACATAACGTCATTTGTTTGGTTCATGGTAGCATCTGACAGTGCTACAATAGAGTTCACTTCTTTTTTATTAGTATTCTGTCAATTTTGACCATAACAGATATTCCCTGTCTACAAATATGTAAAAAAAACTATTAAAAAACCACGCCCAAAAAAATCCAAAACCCAGAGAAAGATCAAAGATTCTGCTCACTAAGGAAATCTGGTAAAACTTTATGTTAAGGACAGATGAAAAGTTACAACTTAGCACTAAATATCATAAAATGACTGAGGCAGGTTATACATTAAGAGTTGTAAGGAGTTGACTAAACTGGACTTCTTCACTTAATCGACTAAAACAATCATTACAGTCTTGGCAATTTAATAAAAAATAATAGACTTAGGTTTTATCATAAACTGATGAAAACCCATAATCTCAAGGCTAAGTCTGCAGGGTGCCGGAATATACAAGAGATCGTTGAGACACTAAGCAGAGGGGGGGGAAAAAAAGTACTTGTTTGAAAGAAACTGTGGTAAAATGAAATACATGGAAATTTCTGTAACTGTCTCTCAAGACAACCCATGAATGGATAAATAGGAACAGAGATTAAATTTCACATATCTAATAACCTGAATAACTCTGACAGATATGAGAAATGAAAACCAGGCATACTGAATCAATAACATATTGATAACCACATATTCTCATTCCTCCAGAAGGCTCCTGCATAGTGATGTGTGAAGTACTGCAAACTGTAACTTCCTTGGGCCTTCGCATCTGCTTGCCTTTCAGAATGACACAGCAGTGTAGATCAGCAGATCCTGGGAAAATAATTCTCCAGAGTACAGTCATGTACATGTCAGTGTTGCCTGCAAAACACTGTTACGCAAATAAAGGGTTTATGTATCAGCTGTTAGTCACATTTATGTCCATTCCCTTTTTGCGTACCTAACTGTGAAGGTCTAACTGAGGTCTAACTGTGAATCCTTATCAGCATGAGTAACCTTCAGCACCTGAAGAATCCCATGTAAATTCCTGTCAATCTAAAACTGTTCATCTGTGGGGCTCGTCCTTTTGAAGCATTTTTGTATAAAAGAAGAGAGAAAAAGTTCCTCCCAAACCCTGATCTTGAAATTCTAATGGTAGATGACTAAGCATACTTTCCAGCTATGCCTAAAGACCCAAAGAATTATGTCAAAATAGCTATGATTTTGCAGAAAAATAGACTATCCTTTCAGTATCACAAACGACTGCATTTCTGAAGCCCAAATAAGACATCATGCCTGCAGAGAGCTAATGGCTGCATCAATGCTTTGTTTTACAAGCCATTACATTTCTGATCATATTTCAACATAAGAAAGTACGAGATTCTTGCCAATCTAAATAAAACATCCCACATTAATAACTGGCATGAAAATGAGAATTGAACTTTGTGTCATAGTAAAAAAAAAAAGCTGCTTTCTGAGATAAGCTAAATACAATTCCCACTATTAACTACAGAAAGTGGAATGTAAACGGCCTCTGTCATACCTTGTACGGACCCTTCTCCTTGTTTTTGTTTTCCAGAGTGTCTATTCAGTGATCAGGAAAAGAGAAAACGCTGGTCATGCGTTTCAAGCACTTTCTTCATACGGCCCATAGATGGCAATGCGCAGCCTCCCAGCTCCCCTTCAGCGACAGCGTTCGCTCCGCACCAGCACCCTTAACCTCCCTGGCAGTCTAACAACTTCTCAAACCATTAATAATTTATTGCTAAATGCTTTCATTTTTTCGGGTCAACAAGTGTTATCCAACAGTTCCAAACAGGTTTGAAAAGAGGGTGCTGTTTGGGGAGCATTTGATGAAATTCAGCCCAAACTGAAATGCTGAATCACTGTTTCGGGACTCCTCGGCCATATAAAGGCATGTTTTATAGATACCGCATGGAAGATCGACCCACTTTTCACTTCATGTAATGAATGTTTATATACAAACGTAATAGCTCACATTTTATCCACATAAACAAAGCTGAGTTAAGCAATACATCCGAGAGAGTCTCGTTACATTTACCTTTAATTAAGAATGAGGAACGTTTGCTTTTCTTTGGAAAAGGAGAAGTGATCTCGCTAATACTTACTGACTAGCTACCACGCTGTATCATGAACTCCTGATTCACCTCACGGCACCTCTCCCCACTAACTCACCTCCCAAGAACGTTTCCTGTAATTCAAAATAACGGCTTAAGCAGTTAAAAACTATTTTAAGAGGACGTTTGATGGTAAACAGCTTAAAAAAAAGCTTCAACCATTACACTTAACCATGCTCGAGACCAGAGGAGAGGCAACATTCCGAACTGGCCAGGGCTAGCCAGGACTAAAGCAACATCTCTCTCAAGTCTGCCGGTGTTCACCAGGGGAAATCAAAACTTTACACTACTGGCAAAAGACAACCGCACCAACTATGGTATTTTGAAACACTGCCGAGCAGAAGCATAAGGGAGCCTACCAAGAAACTAGAAATAATACTATTTTTAATGAAGATAAAGAATTCTGTGGATTGAAGTGTCATCTCCATACATGGGGTTGGCCCACAATAAAGGTACCAGCCACATGGAGAAACAACAATACAGGCGCTACAGGAAGATTTTTGTGTAACACACAAAACAGTTAGAACATGTGGCATGAAAAGAGAGTTGTTGTTCCAGCAGTACTGTAGAATAATTTACATAAAACAACTAGTTTGGCTATTTGTCAAGTGTTTGTAACTGTGTCAAAAATTCTTTATAGCTTACTAGAGTGTGTAGGCAATTTACCTTTTCACAAAGTATAAAACCAAATTGGGTTTTAAGCTTAAAAAATAATTAAACCAGTAAGCTCCCTTTGAAGAAAAAGGAAAAAAGAAATTGCCCCTGGTAGAAAAACACTTTCCGTTCTCTCAGAGTGCTACGGCTTCACTTACAGGGTAGCTAGCCCATTAGTTCAGAAATCACAAGGAACTCAACTGATCTTTGCAGGCCAATCTTTTGTCACCAAATGACTCTGACTACTGACACCAATAATGTGGGAAGCCATACTCACTAAGCAACACAAAACTGGAACTATAATGAATGTTGGAATAAATACATCTGAAAAGGTTGCAAGGCAGGAATGAAAACATCTACTTAATTTTCACACTGCGTATTTTACCTACAGAGGTATGATTTTTTGGCATCCAGGCTTCTTTATTTTCAAAATTGGCTAATCTACTACTACCAGTATTGGTGAGGCAGGGCTGATCTTTCCACAGACCCTACAGTTAACTTGCATTATCAAAACTGTGGCACTGCTTTATTACTTTGGAGCAAGTCCAGAGGAGGCCACGATAATTTTCACACTGCGTATTTTACCTACAGAGGTATGATTTTTTGGCATCCAGGCTTCTTTATTTTCAAAATTGGCTAATCTACTACTACCAGTATTGGTGAGGCAGGGCTGATCTTTCCACAGACCCTACAGTTAACTTGCATTATCAAAACTGTGGCACTGCTTTATTACTTTGGAGCAAGTCCAGAGGAGGCCACGAAGATGATCAGAAGGCTGGAGCACCTCTCTCAAGAAAACAGGCTGAGAGAGTTGGGCTTGTTCAGCCTGGAGAAGAGAAGGCTCTGGGCAGACCTTATTGCAGCCTTCCAGTACCTGAAGGGGCTACAAGGAAGCTGGAGGGGACTTTTTACACTGGGCCTGTAGTGACAGGACAAGGGGGAATGGGTTTTAATTGAAAGTGGGGAGGGTTAGATTGGATATCAGGAAGAAGTTCTTCACAGAGAGGGTGCTGAAGCACTGGAACAGGTTGCCCAGAGAAGCTGTGGATGCCTCATCCCTGGAAGTGTTCAAGGCCAGGCTGGATGAGGCTTTGAGCAACCTGGTCTAGTGGAAGGTGTCCCTGCCCAAGGCAGGGGGGTTGGAACTAGATGGTCTTTAAGGTCCCTTCTAACCCAAACCAGTCTGTGATTCTATGATTTTATACAAGGAGCAATGCTAAAGCTGGAGGGATAATTGCATTCAGCCACATATATAGTCAAAGATGAAAATGTCAAAATGCATCAGCGTTAATTTCACGTTAACATAAACTATTAAGTTCCTATTTTAGAGCTATTCACTTCTCTAGCCACAACATACATACAATTAGACACTTTTCAAGCAATCATGATAATGCCTAATAAACATTTTGTATATGACATTAGCTTTATATGCAAATTAAGGATGCCATCAAAAGCACGATTGAAACTATTGCTGAGACAACTATCTAGTGATTTAGTAAGATATACACTACCAGTTCCCAGCCAGATTCATACCCTTTCTACTCCATTCTTATCCACAATCTTTAAATATTTTCTATAATTTCATACCTGCAGGTAAAACACATTAGTTCTTACACCTTCCAACACAAATTCAGAATGAGGGATGCTGTATGCTTTCCTCCCGTTTCTGTGAAACTGACACTAAATGATCTAATGGCAAAATAAGCTAGATAGAATACATATATATATAAATTAATTCATATATATGTGTGTGCATGTAAATATACACACACACATATCTAGAATTATACATATACATACATTTAGATTATATGTATAACCATAGGCTTTAGTGTCCTGCTAAGACCAGGAAGGTAGAAATGCTGTCAGGAGTGTTCAGTGTGACCACTCTCCAGGACAGCATCCAGTTCCTGTTCTCTGCTGAGGGAGGTCAAACCACTCTACAGCACAGCCATAGCAAGTTTTTTCTCACCTAACATGGCACATCTTTCAACCAATATATTTTTCAAATCATCACAGGAAGACCAATCCTCTGAAAAATCCTTTAGATAGTCAGCAAGCCAGCTGACATAAAAATGTAAGAGGTATGCTTGGAAATTAGTTTTTTCCATAACAACCGAATTTTAGTATTTTAAAACAACCTGAACTATCCCTTTAGAATCTAACAGCTACAATGTGGGAACATCTACATTCTCTTCAGACAGTACCACAGACAGTTTATTGTAAGTTTTAAATATGAATTATATAAACCACACTAAAATTTTCAGTGTGGCGTTTAGTTTAGGTTGCCAATGCTAATTTTACATCTGGGCTGTTCAAATAATTAAACCTACAAAAGAATAAAAATTAGTGTATAATGTTGAATCCCTTCACCATAAAAATGTACAAAACGCCCCATATAACAAATATTTGGGGGTTGGTGATTTTGGGGTTTTTTTGTTAGCAAGCAGTAAGATACAAATAAGAGATTTTGGAAAAGAGTTCTTTTCCCAACAAATGTCAATTTTACACAGAACTACTACAGTCAATTAGTATAGCACAGCGTAGTCAAACGTTTCAAAAACAACCTTTAAGAATTTAGGCTGAGGCACGTTCCAGAAACAACTCTCCAGCCAAGACTGACACTACTGTTAGAAAAGAGAACAACTGTATTTTTTCCAAAGTAATTAAAACAGACAAATAGCAGTGCAGATAAAAAAGAAAAAAATTCCACAGCTATCTAATCTAATGTTCTTTGTGTGTTAACTAGAAGAACTGTTAATCAAAATTCAGTTACCACTACCATATAACTGAATCAAAGCCCTTGTCAAATCTACAGTCTCTCTCTATCAGCTGGTGTCTCTTATTTCCCTGTATATTATGTCATCCACTTTCTTTTTACCGTTTGCTTTGGGCATTAAGTGGGTTTAACCATACAAACTAAATCAGGGCAAAGCCTGAAGCAATTAACAGTTTACTGTTCTATTATGTAAATCTGTCTTGGAGATGTAAATTCAATGCTAGAAAAAAAAAAAGCTAACATTTTAAAGGAGGAAGAAGCCTTTTAAGAGGTAGGTAGGGGTCTAGAAGTAATGTAGATGCAGTCCTCCTGCACACACCCCACAAAGGTTCCATCTTCACTCTGAATGTCATCCTCCTTCAAAATGTAACTCCAGACCACATCACCCCAGTTCTTGCACTGGGAGTTCTGGGACAGCTGTGCATTTCTATTGGGACTCAAGATGACCAGCCAACAACAATGGAATATTCTTTCTCTGTGGAACGGAAAAATCAGAAGCTTTCAAAGACCTTTCACTGGAAAACCCACCTGAGGACTGGAACATAGAAACCAGCAATATAAGGAGGGGGAAAAAAAGCAAGGAAAAATGAATTAATATTTTTTTTCAATGGCCAATTTCTCTTGTAAAGACACTGCTACCTGTACTGCCCTAGCAATTTTCTAGGAGGAAAGTGCATATATTTAGGGTACATGTCTTTAAACAATATTGTCAAAACTTGATACCTATCCATTGGCTGTTACATGAATGCTCACCTATATAGTGCTCTCTGAAAAGGACACAAAACCGTGAGGAACTTAAAGGTTTGTGACAAGTTATCAGTCCTAAACCAAGTGCAATCTAGGACTCCTTTATCCCAAGAAGTAGTTTCAGACATTTGGCATTGAAGAAAGGCATTCAGAAGGTTGGAACTAGACACAAAGGGTGATTTATGGGTTACAGTGTAATTGTTTACTCTTGTTTTAGTTATTCTAGGCTTTCTTGTAGTCCACAGAAAGAAACAGCTTCCTCAGGGATGGATTCTTCACACCCAGAAACTGACATCTGAGTTCACCCTAACAGTGCCTGTTCCTCTCTTCTCTAAGGCAGGAATCTCTTCAGGCATAGTCTAAAGCTGGGATATAGAAGCCTATATGCCAGATGCACTGAATACCATCCACAGTAACTAGATACAACCTAAATTCTGTTGAGTTAATTGAACGCGGGGATGCAATCAACACCTGGATTCAATATTTCCGATCCCTTTCTTCACAAGACACCAGGCAGAGTGAACATAGCTAGAAGACAGCTGGAGCACTGTACACTGTATTGACAACTCTCTTTAGAAAATAAAATGCCTTTAAAATTCCTAATATAGCGTAAGTTTACAAAAACATATTTAGTGCCCAACAAACCCAATCACCCCTTCCATATTCAAAATTACCTTGTCTATTTACTTCATTCTGAAGCAGCTCTTCCATTGCCTCTTCTTCAGCAATATCTAATGGAGTGTCTCCTTCACTATTTACAGCTCCTACATGTGCTCCTTGGCTAATTAAATATCTGCCAATTGAAGAAGAACAAACTGTAAGAAACAAAGTAAAGCCGATGAAAATAAAAAGCAGCCATGAGGACATCATACGTAACAGGTATATACACGCACACATACAATTCATAAAAACAACTCTGGTAAGAATAAGTAAAAAACCTCGTGACTCTTTACAATCCCCAAATAGCTCTTTGTCTTTTCACCACAATACCCATTAATTCAAACAGCACTTTGCTCTGCAGTTTGCACAAAGACACCTGACATGTTTAATACATACTGGCAAGAACTGAAAGAAGAAAATGGTTAGAAGATGAACAAAAGTGAACACAAGGCTAACAGGGGTCCCACCACTGATTCCCATGAGCTCCTCATATTAAGCCGGTCTTCCTAGAACTTAGAAATTCAATGGCACACTATATTTCTATCCTGTGCCAGAACGATGAATCTCTGAGGCAGCTTCATAAAGTTAATACAGCCAGAATCACCTCTGCTCCTAACCATTCACAAGGTCAGCTTTTGGTGGGAAAAGGGGCAAGGGGAGAAAGGACACAGGACTTCACACTGCGATCTAACGCCACTAAGTGTTTTCTTACATAAAGCACTACTGTCTAAACAGTCAACAATCCAGACTCAGTGGAATTTATTTCTGAATTTCAAATTACCAACAGTAAGTCATAAAAGGATTATTTCATTGTATTAAACCATAAGGCTATGAAGTTATTGAGAACTTACAGCTTAATATATAGTGTTTCTAAGTAGACAATGAACAATAATTAAAACATCAATACAGCTTAGTCTTACACCTTCTGACCATAACATTTACACTTCCCTAACAAATTCAACAGTCTGCACAATGACAGGACTCAACACAAGCAAAATATTGCAAACGTAACTCCTGCCTTGCAGAGGTCAATTTACACTTTCCATATGTTTGAGGAAAAAAAAAATCAGGAAATATTCAGACCTGAGGAACTAGTTATCCATTTGGTAACAGGTGTACGAAATCAAAAGTGCTTTCCTAACCTCACTAGAATGCCACATTATGCAGGAGCAAATCACAAAATTAATCCAACTCTAATACCAATGCTTTGAAGTATTTCCGCTTAACTACTGCCAATTAACAATAACAGACTCCAGATCTGGGATCGTATTTTCCTTATCTTTATGCAATAACTCAGCATCAAGTACTCTCATACATTTCTAATTTTTAATGTGTGATTTAAATAGCACTTGTTATTAAACCTCTGTGATTACATCAAGAAGAGGTAAGAACTGACAAATCACAAAAGGGAAATGAATTCCCAGAAGTGTAACCATATCTCCTGGGACATGCATCATCAGTTGCCACCACTAACTTTGATGCTGGTATGAGGTGCTGTTTTTATTCTGTTCCTCTTAAAAGGGTGCCACTGTGACTCTTATCTCTCTCCAGTTTAAAGATTTAACTTCTATGGGAATCAAAAATTAACACCAACTAACAACATTTCTAAACAATACCAGCTGCACTGTTTCAGCAGTGACACAGACTTCCAGTTACAGATCAGATAATTGCTATGCAGGGTGTCGCTAAACAGGCAAAAACAGCACTGGGGAAACTGTCTTGCAAAGTCAAAAACTTGATTCAAAGCCAAATTCAACCACTAACAAAAAATATCTTTATGAAAAAATCCTAAGTCAACATTCATGTTCTTTTCAACTTGCTTTTTCTAATACAGACATGAAAAAAGTGGTTTACAACCCCTATTTTTTACCTGTTTCCACATAATACCTATACGGAAAAACGACGCTGCTTTTGTAAGGAAAATATGTATCTCACTGAAGTGGCTGCATTTGGTCAACCAGGTCAATAACTTATAGGCATGATAAAAGGAGTAATGCATAAGAAAGTGT